GTGTGCTGAGGCGTGGCCCGGGCCTCCTGCGTGCTCAGCGCTGCCCGTCCGCTCCTGGTGACGCTGCCAGGCTGCCGGACCTGTCTGAACCCACTTCCTCCCCCGTGCTCAGTGGCACCTCGCTGCCAGGGCACTTGGGAGCATTGCAATTGCTCAGCCCGGCATCTAGCACACAGTATGTCTTCAACTGATGTTAGAAAAAATTCCCATGTGACCCTTAGGAGGAGGTCAGCAAGTACTCTTACTCGACCAGCACTGAAATTAGTGATTGGAGCAGGGGCCGTCTTCTTTCGGGACTTGCTTTCAGGAGTATTTGTAGGAACACACTCAGCATCTTCATATTGCTGGGTAAGAATTTGCTTATAAATGACTTCCAAAAGCCAACATTTCCTGCTTACCATGGTTTTTCTGGCTTCCATTTTCTTGTGTGTCCTTTTATGTTGGGCATCCTGAAGAATCGCTGCTGTCTGCTCGTTTTATTATAGTTCCAGCTTATATTCTGGAGAATATTATGTGCATTGCATGTCATTTCCATTTTAAAAGGTAGTCTATTCATTCAGCAAACTGAACTGAGCACCTTGGCACCTGTTTAGAGGGCACGGACCTCCATGATTTGAATCCAGAGCTCACTACTGCCAGGTGCATGTTAGTTGATACCAGAAAAAGAGGTGTTTTCAATCCCAACTTAAGAATATTGACCCAAATATTGACTAAAAGCTGAGGTCCTGTCAGTGTATTTTTTAAATCATTAGAAAATCTCTAGTGTTTAAAGATTAATCAAGATTAAGTACAATTTTAAAAGAAAAAGGAAAAAAAATAGCCATTCTTGATTCCAAACACACACACACACACACACACACACACACACACACACACACACATACACACGGAAATGATTGCATTTGCATCCAATGTACATTTATAAAATATCCAATATTTGACAATTTCACAGCCACTGTGCTTGGGTACCAAGGAGGCAAAAATTAATAAAAGTGGTTTTGGGGGTTTTTTGGCCTGAGGAACTCACAAGCTTATAAAAACATTGTAAAGGAACCCTTTTCTGTCTTGTGAGAATAAGGCAGTTAGCAGCCCGCACAGGTGACTCCTACTCTCGAGGTCCCCGTGTCACCATGTGGTGACATGTGGTGTCCTCCTGCGGCTGAGTTTGGGGCCTGGTCAGGTCCATCCTCATCGGCTGCCTCTGGGTGGTGATGGGGTCTGCGCTGTCCCCACCTCCCCGTCCCCATCACTGAGCACCTTCTACCCCCAGCCCTGAGCTACGCACTTTGTACACGTTAGTCTGTCCCTCCAACGTGTCCTGCCACGTAGATGCTGTCACCCCTCATGTGCCAAGAAGGTCACTGGGGGTCTGCAAGGTCATGTGATTAACGGAGATCACACAGCGGGCAGGTCCCACGTCCTTTCAGCTTCTCTGCCTGTTTCTTCTCGGTGTCCCTTTCAGTCGGTGCTGTGGTGGCATCAGTGTGTCTCATACCTGTGACTATCAAGTTAGGGCGCTTTGGTACGTGTCACTTTCATACATTCAATCATTCGTTCATCCCAGATGTGTTTACAAGCCTCCTTGAGGAGCCTGGCAGTGGCTCTGGGATGACGGCCACAGTCAGGATAGGCCCTGATAGGACAAGACGCATGAGGCTAAATACAGGGTTGAACCAGGCAGGACGGTGACGACAGCCATTCAGGCTTCAGCTCATTTTGTCTAGAATGCAGCAGCGATGTGTGTGTGATTTGCTGTGCCTTCAGGAAGTAGAGAGAATTCACACTGAAAATACCCGCAGACAGTGCCACGTGGAAAAGCGAGGCGTTATCTCTAAGCAAGTTCTCCACGGCCAGCTTTTTCTCCAGCACCGGACGAGACCACCCGTCTTTTGCTGAGTACCTAATGAAGTCAAAGATTTGCTTTTAGGGGCCCTATTGTGTGGGAAATACTAGTTTCAAATACTAACCCGCCTCAGAGCTGCAAGATGCCCAGTCAGGAAGGCACGCGGCGCTGACGTCGCTGAGCCAGCCCCATCCCCACTTGCACCTGCCCCCGCCCACTGTCTGCTGGTGGGCCCCCAGTGGGTGGACCCCCTAGTCCGTTTTTGCTGCGTCTCGCTGTTGAGCACATTCTCCTTCTCCTGCCAGTGCACCTCGCTGACTGTCGGCTTTTGTCTCAAGTGGAATCGAGCTTAAGTTGGTGTGATGTGCCCACACTGTGTTGTTTTTCAGTCAGGCTTTGTTCTCCTTTCAATAACCACCAAGGGCACGGAGCCCGTGTCACTTTCATATCCTTCTAAGTTGTTCAGGTTTTCCTCTCAGGGTCCCTATCATTTCTCTCTCATATGTGGTAAATGTATTGATTCATATCTCGTAAGTACAAGAAACTGAGGGACTTTGAAGAAAGAGGGAAACCACTTTAAGAACAGAAAATAAGATACTAATGTCTGTGTCAGTGGTGTCAGGAGAAAAAGAAAGTCCTGCCAATTAAATCAGTCAAAGGATTATCTGTTCTGCTAAATATAATCAAAGTACAATAAGAGAGACCTTTCTGAGTGTACAGTAGTGTAGTGTGTGTTTGCGTGTGTGTATGTGTGTGTACCCTTAGCATAACCGCGTTTGAGTCTGTACCTCTGACATGTATATGTCCCAAATTGTCCTAATCCACAGCGTGCTAACATTTACCACACAAAAACAAAAAAGACAGAATTTTTAAAAAGATATCAAAATAACATGTTTACACACATATGTGCACGCATTATTTTAATGTTAATTATATGTTTCAGTATTACATGTCACATCTTAAAGGACTCTGTGCATTCCCTTTCTATTGAGGTCACACACCTACAGCATGAAGCAATGAAAGAAGACCTGAGAATACCAAGGCGACCTTTCATGTATTGCAAGACCACACATACACACATGTGCGCTCACACACACACACATGCACACATGTGCACACACTCATGCACACACACGCGCACACGTGCGCACACATACACATGCACATGGGCACACTCATGCACACACACGCACACATGTGCACACATACACACGCACACATGTGCACACACTCATGTGCGCACACACACATACACACATGTGCATGCACTCATGCATACACACACACACTCATGCACATACACGTTAGATTAGTAGCGGCACTTTCCATCCCGATGGACGTGAGTGCCTTCCCTGCCAAAGTGGGATGAAGCAGAGAGCTCTGCAGGCTTGTGCCGCTGCTGTAAGCATACAAATAAGTGTGATCAGTAGCTTGTCTCTGGCTGATGCCAAACAGCAGTTTTGAAAATGCTAATCCAGCTCAGGCTCTGATCCCTGCTGCTGTGGGTGCACTGACAGTGTAAGAGGTGGGACCGCTGGGCAGAGCAACCTGCAGCAGCTGTGCGACAGATGGCTTTGGAGGGACGTCTCAGAGAGATTCAGTATTGGAACCATGGAAGTGGCTCCTTGGTGGCAGAATAAACCCGGTTTATGACATTCCTTGCCACTGGCTAAAGGACAGCCTGTGTTGTGTCACTTAACTTCGGCCCAGTAAATAGGAGGCAGGGTCAGCAAACCGCATTTGTGGTCAACGCGTGCAGACATTTCATTTTTCCTTTTCCCCTCTGAGTGACGCGTGGAGGATGCTGGACTCACAGAATGATGGCCCATTTCTTAGGCAGACAGCAGGACAGCTCTGTCAGCCCGTAGGCTCAGTCAGCGCAGCGACGCTTCAGCTGTGTGGGCCGGGCCATGGGCTTCCTGGTCAGGGGCCTACGGAACGCTGTTCTGTCCGCTGTCACTCATCTGTACACAGTTCTCTTTGCTGTAATAATGCACGTGCTAACAGTGTCATGAGTAAGCTAATGGGAGTGGAGTGCAGTTGCTGACAGAAACGTACAGGGCAGCCTGAACGGTGTGTCACTGTCAGCTGGAAAGCTCTGGGCGACTCTTAGAATTGCATCTTCTCAGTGTACCAGTGGGAGGTGGTCTCCAGAGGCACTGCAATCTGTTTATAACTTTATGGCAAAAGCCTTTGGAATAAGGCCAAAGAGATTATCAAATAGTGCACAGAAAGGAAGCGAGTTGCTGGAATGCTTTAGCCATTCTTTTCTTAGGGCCAAAGATATTGTCGTTTTTATACATCTGTATAATTAAAGCTTCTACCAGAATGAGTTAGGATGACTGGCTGGGATTTAGCTCATTTGAATGATGCTCACGAAGGTAGGACATCTGGCATACAAAAAGTTCTTTCACTTATTTTGACCGCCCTTCTGCTCAGTAGAAAAATCTCAGCAGTTCAAAGCTGTATTCAAGGGACGGCATTTGAAAACAGGCTTCTAAGCAATCTTTGAGGGATTGGAAGCCAATTCTCAAATCATCTGGGAATGCATAGTGAAAAAATCGTGTGTGTTGCTTGGAACTCTCCCTCACTTCCCAAGTTGACTTGTGAGGAGACGGGCATTTGGGTGGTGACACACGTGGGTTAGGGACGGCGACTTGGGCTGAAGGCTGTGTTAATTGTCATTTGTCCTGTTCTGACCTCAGATGTCGTCTCTGTGGAGCCCTCCTCGTTTCGGTCCATGCTGTTCTGTTGTGACAGGTCAGCCGGAGCGTCATACGAATGCAAAGTGGCTATTGAGAAACAGTTCAGGGAGGACGGCCAAGTAGAAATTCCTACAAATTGTGATTTGCTGCAAAATGCTTGAATTCATGAGAGAAGATGTGCCAAGAGTTCTTTCAATGAGAAGTGTAATTCTCTGGTGGTTTTCTGCATGTCTGCCATCTCTACTTCATTTGTTCACAGATGGAAAGCTAGAGGATGCTTTTCTGTAGCAACAGAGCGAGGCTCTTGTTTAGGTATTTGGGGAGTTTTTCGAGGGGTGGTAGAAAGAAACATTAAATCAGTTATTTCTAACGGAAAAGGTAAACATTGCTGGAAACGTGGTTCCTTAGATGGAAATTGCCTCTAAAATTGCAACTTTCCAACCTGTCTCTAGGTGCTGTGACTGCAGACCGTGACTCTGCTTTAATGCAAACACATCACAGTGGGCGCTGGGGAGCTTAATTTACCGGTAAGAATATTTTCCTTCGTCATTTGCTGTTTGCATTTTGAATGTGTTTAGTGATTGCCACGCCTGGTAGAAGAATAGAAGCCACGGAGGACACAGGCTACGGACCGGGTGTGTAATGTGCTGAGGTTTTTATTCAGTCCCATTAAAGTGATGGTTTCTTTTTGAAAGATCAAAACACTGAACTAAAATGTACTTTTCTTGTTAGCTGACCTTTTGGCATACTTGAAAGTTGCCTCTTGATGATAATTATCTGAATGTCATGTTTAATAGAAAAGTGAATTTTATAATTGAGATCTGAGAAGGTTAGCTTCTTAGGAGGCTAACGTTTTAGTGAGAAAACCATTGGTCAAACAGGGCCCGCCCCTCCATGGTCTGAAGGGCTGTCAGCCTCATAACTGTCCCCGGAATTTGGATCAACGTGAAATCTGACCTGAACCCTCCTCTGGGCTCCTTTCGAATTCTTTGTGAATCGCCAGGTGAATGGTAACTAACTTCAGAGGGTTTGGAAGAGTGAGAAAAAGTCGGCTCTCCAGGGCCAGTGGCGTGGCCATGGAGGCTACCTAGTCCCTTTAAATATCTGTTTCCTACTTCCTAAAACTGGAATATTGTTGTAATTGCCTATAGGTGCAGGTTAATTAGAGTATTTTTGAATTCTTATTAGCACTTTATTTAGTCCATAGTATTATTCATAACGTGTTCTTTCCTTCATTTTACTGAATTATGTTTCTTTTCTTGTGTTCCTCTTGGTCATTGGCCAACCCATTATTTAATTCTACAAAGTAAGTTACTTTGCTATCAGCTTTCATGGTGGTGCTTGAGAAATTCAGCCGTGAGTTTTCCAGGAAGTGTTTATGGGATCATAGTCCTAGGACCCACACACGCGTTAACTGGGGCATTAATTTTCGTTTAAGAAGCTTCCATTTGGAGGGCTCCCACACACACACAGTGAGATAGCTGCTCAGGCTCCGATTAGACTGGTCAGGCATCGCTTAACGACCGAGCTGCCTTCTGAGGAACGTGGCCCTTTGCTGCTGGCTCCAAACCTGTACTGCAGGCGACTGTCATGTGTGCTGCCACAGCTTTACAGCGGCTGCAACATCACTAGGTGTGAGCACGCTGTCAGCCCCTTATGATCTTAGGGGACCATCGCTATATGTGCTGCCTGTGTTGACCGAAATGCTGTTGTGTGGTGCATAACTGTATGATACGTGAATCCCGGTTCTGCTGTTATATTTTTCAACACCCAGATTTATCAGAACTGGTTCACGGCACATTTACACTTTCAGTATTAGAAAGTATGACTTTGAGTTTGCACAGAGCAGATTAAGGTAGGTTTATTTGTACATTTCAGTTGTTGCCAAACC